CTGTGAAAAGACTTTTGGCCACAGATCTGCCTTAAGTATACACAAGCGGGTCCACACAGGAGAGAAGCCCTATAAATGTCCTCTCTGTGAAAAGAGTTTTGGCAGCAGATCCACCTTGAAAATACACAAGCGGGTCCACACAGGAGAGAAACCCTATAAATGTCCTCTCTGTGAAAAAAGTTTCACTCAGATGGCCCACTTTAATGTACACCATCGGGTCCACACAGGAGAGAAGCCCTATAAATGTCCTGTCTGTGAAAAGAGGTTTGGTGATAGTTCCTCCTTAAAAAGACACCATCGGGTCCACACAGGAGAGAAGCCTTATAAATGTCCTTTCTGTGAAAAGAATTTTCGCCGTAGATGTGCCTTATATATACATAAGCGGATTCACACAGGAGAAAAACCCTATAAATGTCCTCTCTGTGAAAAGATGTTCAGCGACAGATCCTCCTTAAATAGACACCAGCGAATTCACACAGGGTAGGAACCCTACAAAAATCCTCTCTGAAAAGAGCTTCATTGAGAGGTCCAAATTTGGTAGATATCAGCAAGTCCCCAAGGGATAGAAACTGTAAGTGTTCTCTCTGTGAAAAGAGTTTAATTCAGAGGTATCATTTTAATAAACACCAACAAGTGCGCGCAGGAGAGAAAGCCTACAAATGTCCTCTCTGAGAAAAGTTTCATTGACAACCCAAGCTTTTTCATATACCACTAGGTCCACCCAGGAGAGAAACGTTATATATGTCCCATCTGCGAAAAGAATTTCTTTTTTTTTAAATTTTTAAAAATTTAAATTTATTACTAATTTCAGTAAAAATTTACAGAGACTTTGGATTTCCATTCATTCATTGTTGCACTTTTCTCCCCTCCCAACCCTCCTTGAAAAAGTAAAAGAAAAATTCTTTCATTGTTTTCGAAAATAATTTCTTAAGTGTAACTTTATTAGACATTAGAGGGTCCACATACTAGATAAGACTTATGAATCTTCCTGCTTTGGGAAAAGTTTCAATAGGAGCTGAAATTTTGACAGACATCAGAGATCCCATTTGAGGAGGAAGTCCTCTCCATAGCCAGACTCTCTCCACCCTTTCTGTATCGGTGCAGTGGCAAATAGAGAGCTTTTGGAGTCACCTACAATATTTCATCTCTTGTATCTCTGTCTATTTTCATGCATCCAAATGAGGAAATCCGCAGTTGTTTTTGAACTTGAAATATAAATTGTGCTTTTGGAGTGAACTTCATGCTTGCTTCGTGTCTTCTAACAGATCACCTATAATTACTGTTCTCAGTAATAACATCTGGTTAGCCTACTGATAAAGTAGAATTCCAGAGCATGTCTTGCTGTTACAGAGCTCAAGGAGATATAGAGGACCAAAGCTCTCATGTGTGCTCTTATACAGGTGGGTACAATGTGAACTTGATGTGTCCTTTCTTCAAATAAACTCAATAGATTCACTCCTCATCTCACTTGTGTCTGAAATGTTGATTCATATTGAAAATGGGTTTTTGAGCAGAAGACCTGAGTTGAAAATTAAGCTCTCTGGTAAGCATGTAACCAGACTCCTCCCTAAATGTGGTCACTAAGAATATGTCTCCAGTGCACTCCTTAAATGGGGGTTTTGCAAAGAACTAGGTCACTGTGCGGACAGACAGCCATTTCTGATCTCGATTAACTCCGCAATGGGGATGTGTCCCCATCAACAGTATCCAGAACAGAAAACCATTTCCGAAGAGGTCCAACATCCCCTTATACTACTATACCTACTTCTAATTCCAATACCAAGCCTGCCACTCTCCAGGATCTGAATCCGTTACAAAATCTACCCAACATTTAATACAACCATACACACCATTATGAGGATTATTAGGAAAGTAAGGATGTTAATTCTGTGGGAAATGTTTCAGCAAGAGCTCAAATTTTGATGAACATGAGAGGTCCATCCCATCTGTGGAAGAAGTCCTCTCCAGAGCCAGACCTTTTAACCCTTGTCTGTGTCAGTCCATTGACAAATACAGAACTTTCAAAATCACCTACAGAATGACATCTGTTCTATACCTGTGTATTTTGATAAATTGAAAAGGGAAAATATGTCATTATTTTTTAATTTGGAAGTTGGTTTGGGCTCTTGGAGGCAACTTCATGTTGCCTAACACATTGCCACACACTTTTAAATTGATGACCGTGCTTAGAAACATTTTTTTCCCTATTGTTTATGACTGCCATATGAAATTGAGTGTCAGTTGTATGTTTGGAAGTGAAAATTAATTAAAATGTGCAGGATGGCCTTAGCCGTCATTTGCGGCAACGTGTTAATGTCTTCTAATAACCCTGCTGTAATTACTGTACACAGGAATAACATTAGCTCAGCTCCTTAAGACCAAGTCTATCATGGAGACAGCCATTTCTGACCTCGGTTAACTCCACCATGGTTAAGTGTCCCCATCAAGAGTATCCACAACACAAAACTAATTCCCATGAGGTCTGATGCATCCATCTGTCATCCTACTTCTAATTCCCAACACCAGTCCTTCTCTTCTCCAGGGTTTGAAGTCCATTGCAATAACTCACACTTCACAGAATCATACGATTATGGGGTTTACTAGGAAAGTTGGCAGGTTGGAATGCACGCTTGCCAATAGGATATAATTTCTCAGCCATGTCAGCTTGTGAAGTGTGCTTGCAGGCTCTTCAGCCTTACAGCTTGAAGCCAATGCTTAAAAGCTCTCTCAGTACTGCCAATTACATATCTATCCATTAAGATTCCCACAGTCTTGGATGTAGGCCCCTGACTCTGGCTGAATGGGACAGTAGTCCTAGATCAACTGTTTGATATTGGGTCTGGATCCAAGACAGGAAGACCCTCAACCAGGTGGATTGGTACAAGTATTTCAGCAGTGGGCTAAAAGGTGTCAGAAATTGTGAAAATGGCACAGGATGGGTAGGACAGGATTCATATCTTTTCTTCAGAGTTCACAGAGGAACTCTTAGTGGAACTTGTGCCCTGATTTCTGACTTCTAGATCTGTAAATGGATGGAATATATTTCTGTTCCATAAAGTCATCCACTGGCCTGTGCTCTCACTATGTTAAACATGTCTATCACCCCTATATTTCCTCTTGTACATTTACAGTCCCTCTCTCTTGCCTTTCTTTGCCCTTACTTTTCCCATTCTGGGTCGCTAATGATTTGCGTATTCTAGAATTTTATATAAAATTTGATCTTACTATATTTTCACTTTGTTCTGCATGTGTTGTGTTCCTGTTGCTTCTTTAGCTATTTTATCACTTTCTCACTGGTTTAAAAAAAATTATTACAGTAGACCTGGAAGTAATTTTGTTCATATATCTGGTGCTGGGATTTTGTTCTGCTTGGATGTGAGTTTATTGTTCTCAGGAGATTTGGAAAATTTTTTTCGCCTTCATTTGTTAAGACCCCGTGTTTAAAAAAAAAAAAAAAAGACCCTGTGTTTTCCCTGGTTCCCTCCTGATTCCTAGAATTGCTATGAGATGTAGTGAACTCAAATGTTTTGGGAGTTCTGGTGCCCTAGTAGCAAGAAGCTGCACTGCAATCCCAGAGGCGCGCAGTTCAAATCCACAAGATGCTCTGCTGTAGAAGGAGGGACAGTCTCCTGTACCAGTCAGATCTGATTTGATGGTACATATACACAAAAATAATAAAGTGTCTTATGAAGCACATGATGCAGCATGATGGATCTGTAAAGCTCATAATCCCCCCCTGCCCCTTTCTTGAAGAGAATTTAGGTGAGGACAAAGCCTCAGAAAATTTAACTTGCTGAAGGTTGCAGAACTATCAGGTAGTAGTAGGACTTCCTCTTTTGAGTCTCTAGTTTTGCCCAGCTCAAAACTCAAACTAAAAAAAAACACACACACACAAAAAAAAACCTCAAACTCATTCTTGCTAAGTCATAACTAACTCATAGTTGGCTCTGCACTAGGTTTTTGCAGTTGTAACTCCCATGGGAAGAGAATCCCCATCTTTCTCCTGTGGAGCCTCCAGCAAATTTGAACTTCTGGCTTGCAGCACAGTTCCGTACAGAGTAGGCCACCAAAACTCCTACTTCCTTATGTTGTTATGTACTATCTTTTTTTTTCTATAATTATATTTTATTAATTTTCATAAACATTTACAGAGATTTTGGGTTTCCATTCATTCATT